CTTCATACGCGTTTTATATATCAACTAAGGCCACTCTTGGGATACGAATCAATAATATTCCCCTGCAGGCCAACGAGTCCAAGAGCAGCTCGGCGCCTTGCAAGTACTGGGTGAAGCTATATCATGGAGACACGATAGTTTTCTGGGGAACAGAAAACGCAGAGAAACAAGCGACGCTCACATTTGTGTGTTACTGGGGCGGATCTTCGATCCCGAGACCATCGGATGAGCCTCCATCCAACGTACCTGATGCACAAGCTCGTAAACTTGATCGTCTCTGGCCTAAGGCTATGGATACTCTCCACTACGACAAAATCAAAACCGAGGCGCAACGCGACCAACAATCGAGGATGCAACACATGGACGAAGAGTTAGAGCGCAGTCGAACTTTCGAGGAGAAACGTGCTCATGCAGTTAGAACCCTTGCTTCTCGCCGAAATTCGCCAGCTAGCGCGCCTCCAACCTCCAAAAGAACAGTTCCCCAGTTCCGTCATAACTTGGCATCACCCCACGTTCACATTAGCTGATGGACTTATCGGGCTCTAACGCAGACAGCAGCGGGTTCCCCGTTACCTCGGCGATGGGCTATTCCGAAAAAGGGAGGTTTGGGTTTCCACGTTGCCTTATACTCCGATATGAAACATATTTAGCATGTCAGCGTGTCAACATATCGGCGTCTCATATCACGAAGGTTTGATTTATCCGGATATCAAGAATACCAACGAGCGTATAGAAAGGGGAGCCGAATGACGGGTTCTTATATCGAGACCTGGGTAATAGTATGGAATTGGGAGAACAGTGGATAGTACCCGGCTTTGTAAGTGATACCAAGAAAAGGCAGGAAATTACATTGCCAAGCTCTATGCCTATAGAGGTCTTTTTGAGAGGTTTTCAGTGAGAAACCTGGGCTCGAGTAATTTAGTATATAATATAATATTATATAGGTGACCTATCTCTGCATAGGAGAGTCGACCAGACAATGATGGGCAGGTACAGTCTATCATGGGTGCACATGTGTAGGTAAATACTGTGCATGCAGCGACGTTCAACGTTCAATGTTCCAAGGTTCATAACATTAACATGATAGACTGGGACGTTCCTTCTCTCATCTGCACCCTACCTATTCTCATCAGGGTGCCCCCAAATGCTGCAATCCTTTTTCAACATTTCCCCATCTCATCTTCACACCTTTTAACATTTCCACCTTTGGACCTTTTCCAGCTTATACTGCAACCACCTGGAACTTCGTTTTGAGCTTCCCCCTTACTTCCATATTGTCGTGTCCTTTTTTATTCCTGTTTTACGTGCCGCCTGCTCTATCATTCTCTTGTCATATTTCCTTTCACTTACACTAACCCTAGATCAAGCAGACTTCAGCAATCAATAAATCGCACAGTGTTTGTGTTATCTTTCCACTCTGAGCTCTAGTAGAGATGGTACGTGTCACTTCAGGTCTATACCAAAATAAGTATTTGTGTATTCATTTCTCTCTTTCTTGTTTTTCAGCTTAAGCTTGGATGCTCTCTTACATTTGCTGCCCCCAACTTGGGTTCTTGGCCCAGAATATCACTAACACATAAGTAGGCACCCTAGCTTCCAGTTAGAAAAGAAAATGTCACATCAGGAGCCTTACAACAGTGACGGTGAGGTTTACCTCCCTGGTGGAAGTGGCTTATACATCACGACCACCAAGAACGGAAAGCCAGCTTTTGGCCGCAAGAAGAAGGGGAGATTGCTAGAAGATCACGGCTTTGACATTCTCGGCCAGGCATTTGGAATTCCTTCTCGCATCGATTTTGAACGTGAGGCTGAGCGGGAAGTTCGTCGCCGCAAGACATTCATGGTTCGAAGCCCAACGCCTCGTGCGTCACGCGAGAAGTCTACCACAGCTCATGACTTTTACAAACACGGTAGCTACGTCCTTCCTATGAACAAAAGTCTGCCGTCGGCTTTTCCCTTTACATCCACCCGCATCCACCGCGAGACTGAAAGCCGGCTGAGTTGCTCAAGCCATGGTAAAGAGTCTGAGACGAAGGACGCGAACCTAGCGCCGATGAGCTCCCATCCGCCGGCAATCCCGAGCCCATCATCTCCTCATATGTGGGAATTTGGTAATACCATGGCTGTATCACCAAACAACGGTTTCCCAACGACGTCCTCTACTAAACCACAAGAATACGCTGTTCAGAATACGGTTCCCGGTAGCTTTCCAAGGCCATGGCCCACCTTGGCATCGGTCCCCCACCATTTACAATCTCCAATTCACTCAGCTTCCCAGCCGGTTGCATCACCCCCTTTCTTTCATCACATCCAGATGATGCCACAGTACCAGGAAGTGAGAAACCCTGTTTGTCCCACTCCCGGGTCCTTGTTCACTCCTGTACCGCCGCATCAATCCCTGCTTGTGGCGACACCGTTGCCAACAACGCAACCACGCGATGGATTAAGTACTGTGGCCTTGAAAGGTTCTTTACCTCTCAGATACAGTCCCAGCGAGGTTAGGAAGTGCGAGGAACACTACAAGGCGTCTAGAAAATCTACATTAGAGGGGACGGATAAGTACGAGAGCAATGGAAAAGAGAGAAGAGGGAACAAGCGAGATATTGGCAAGCACATCCAGCACATCCACGTCTGCGCAGGTTGTGGACGAATACGATCCAGGAGATATCACAGTGAGCATCCTTTAGAGAGAGGCCAAATACCGGAACGGGATTATTGCGCTAGGTGTCAACACGAGGCTGCTCTAGTAGAAAACGATGACACTGACAACAACGTAAGTCACAATGAAACCTATGTAAATATGCTCGGAGCTAACTACCAGTCGCAGGTTGATATGTCTTGTACTAACTGTAGTATCACGCGAAATACAAAGAAAGCTTCTGGAGCTGCCAAGCAGAAATCGAGTGGTATCAGTTCCTCGTCAAGTATCCTGACTGCTTCAACCATTGTAGAAGACCACACTATACGACCACCGTCGATACCATCCACGGGAGAGTCAAATGTTGATGATTTCGTGTTGGCCCGAGGCTCGAAGATAGGACAGATCGGAGGCAGGTGCTCGAGTTTATATGCTGGAGAAACTGTCCAAGCCGTCGACGACATGCCTCTGTCGAAATCTTGTACACCCAAAGAAGATAAGGAAGCAAGCTTGAAGGAATACATTCACGTCAAAAGTCCTAATTCAGCGGCCAATGTAGGGAGAGAGGACCCGAAGAGGGCTGTGTCGAAAATCAGACTGAAGGACGTACTGCGCAATACCTACGCCAACGACACCTGTATTTCTTCCGAGGCTCCTTCTCCTGAAGGTCACTCTGGCTTTGCACATCTACCTTCAGGGCTAGTTTCCGAAGTGAGACCTAGGGCTCCATTGCAGAGTGTTTCAAACCACTCAGGAGTCGCTTCACCGTGTCACGATATCCACAACGAGATAGCAATGCCCACGGATGAAGACTACTACTACCGCGGTACAAGCGATAGAACTCGGGAGCCCAAAGCTAGATATTATATCGACCATAATGACAATTCCCGGGACAAGCAGACAACCAATGAAGCTTACGGGTCGGTGCGGGAGTACAAGGCTCCTTACGAGAGTACCGTGAACTACCGTATGTATGAGCCGCAGGCACGTGCATGCACAACGCATGGGTTATCTCAGCAGGGGCGGTCTCATCGAAGACGAGTTCGGCGACACCAATATGGCGGCTGGACGTATAACTATGAGCATGGGAAACGACCTACAGACGACACAGCGGAACTAAAAACCTTGCATGAACCCGAGTGTGTCTCTGGATGGGATCTACCGCCCACGCCTACAGAGCTGCCGCGTCCCTACCAAACCACCGACCCATATCTAGTGAGCGATTCTTGGAATGCTTACCATACAGGCGAAGAGGAGCCTGGGCAAGGGTTTGAATGGACGGCCGAGGAAGACTTGCTGTCGGCTGCTAAGTTCTTTGACGGTATGACAAATCCTATCTACGGCTTTGATGCGACTCCACCGGATTGCATGACGCACACTGAGATCTCAGTAGAGTCGTATTATTCCTGCACAGGAGCCGACGGTTCTGTTATTCCTCCCGCTGCCTACGAGCTGTACGAGACGTCGGAGTTGGGTTCCACAGGCAACGAGGGGAGCCGAAGAAAGACCCTAGGTAAGATTCCTAAATTGAACCACACCTCCCCTGAATTAGCCTAGGAAGCTAACGAGGTGTATAGAGTTTTCAAGCAAGGTCGACCGCGACAAGAAGATGGCTAAACGAATTGATAGCGGGACCCCTTCGACATACCGCAACCGACAGAAGCCTAGAGAAAGACAGTCCGAGCCTTCACCGAAGCGGCGTGAGAAGACTTACTATTCCGATAGGAGAGCATCGAGTAGCTCTCTGCACCTATCGTGGCCAGACCCTGCATCCTCTACGATCGCTCATACAGGACATTCCTTAGAAGGGTTACGGCCAGACTTAAATGATCACACCAACCTAGCTGTTGGTGGTAAACGCAAAAGTATCCGCCAGTTGTTGAAACTGTAATACTATTCATCGCCCTGCATACCCTGTCTGTGTTCGTTTATCAACCTCTGACGATCAGCAGCATTTGATGTGTATGCTAATGGGATACGTTTTTGCGTTTGGATGAGGATGAGGGGAGTAATTTAGTGTGGGGTTGGTAGGCGAGGTATCCATACTTGGTGTTTTCGCGTTGTAACAATGAAAAACTGTTTGAGATTTGCTCGAATGACTTCTACCTAGTTAGTAACTTGTGATAATGCAGATAGTGGAAGGTGCATGTTCCATGTATATGGATATAGGTATCGAGTGAATATTTGGATATGCTGATAATGGAAATGGAGACATTGATGTAACAATATATACTGGGTACCTGGGACCTAGGTATATATAGTGCAGTATCGCAGCTTCCTAACAACAGTTTGTCTATTGGTTAGCTGCTAGCTCCTTCCTCACACCGAAGGCTCAGGTAGCTCCTGCAAAATCAATGGGTTAGCCCGCTTGGCTTAGTGGTAAAGCGCATCACTAGTACCGTAGTACCGAAGTACAAAGTACTGATATAACTACGTACCTTCAACGCTAGTGTCATGATGAGATCACTGGTTCGATTCCAGTAGTGGGCAATGTATCTAAGATTCCTGTGGAAGGCGCGGGCTTTCACGAAATTTAATTTTTACCTGTCTTTCTTTTTTTGTCTCATTTTTTTTCCCTTCGTCTTTCTTATCTTCTCGCTATTTCGTGAGGCGTATAGCGACATCATTCTATTTAGGACGAACCTTACTATTAAAGGTAGCTTAGCTTTGCTTTGCTCTATTCTTACCATATTTATTGCTTTATAATAGGTACTAGATATCCGCGCCGTGACGGAACTTCTATCTTGAGTATCTCATTCATTCATGGGTGTATGTCACTTTAGATCGTAGCATCACAATGTAAATCATTTTTCTTGTTCTAAATCGTTATTCCCCAGCATTTAAAGTTGGTGCGAGGAGACGCCATTCATCAGTAGGGAGTGTCTTCTCCCCTCCTTTTTTGAATTCCCTGCCTTTGGCTTTGATATCTGTACATGCCAACCATCGAGGCTGACTTTTCCCTTCCCTGACCGGCGAGTTTGTACAAGTCAAAGCGATAGCAGCCTGAGCGTATCACGCGTCATCTTCTCAATGTCATATTCCCTGGGTTCATCACTCCACTCTCAGAACCCTGGGTCCGCGCTTCTTGGTTGCCTTCTTCTTCTTATGACCTCGCTCAAACGAGGCTGCCGAAGCGTGGTCGCGGCCTACGTTGTCGAGATCCTTGACTTTGTAGATTCGGATAATCCAGTTTTCGCTAGTGTAGGCCTCTTCTAGCGTGTTAAGAATCGGGCCCTGGTCGGGAAGCCGAGCACCTCGAACACGGTCTTGGGCTTGCCCAGGCGGGAAGAGAGCGCCATAGTTGTAGTACGACATCTTGTACCTATATTTTAGGGGGCCACGTTAGTGAAAGGACCACACTGTGCCTTGCCGAAAAGGATACTCACATGAGGCTGTTTTTCATGGTGTCAGAGGCTTCGCCGTCGACCCTGTACTCGCCCCGCGCGGTGAAGAAATCGCGTTCCTTCACTTCGTCAGGCCAGATACCCTCGGCAATTCTAACCATCCAGAGGAACTTGTTTATGTCGTCACCTGAATAACCAAGGAGACCACCGAAGACGACGAGTACGTAGTCAACTTCATGCTGACGCATGATCGGGTAGCTTACTTCTTCACGGGAACTCATAGCTTTGCCCACCGTAGCGATGTGAGTGTTGTTCCAAGTATTGTTATCCACGAGGGTAGGACGGTCGGCCATTCCACCGATTTGATAACCGTAGTCCCACCAGGACATGATCTTGGCATCTTCCTTGGTATTCTGGCGGAGCCATTGGTAGGCCTCACGGTAGTCGTCAATAATATGTTGACTGCCATCTGGCATTCTGCTTGCTAGGACAACAGAAGGAGACGAATAGGCGTTCGAGGTCACCCATGTACAGTGCTGTACAAAAATGAGTAGGAATACGATCATGAACGAGGCTATGGTGGCTTTGGACAGGAAGTTGTAAATGCCCACCACGGGCTGGGACGCAGTCCGCAGCACGCCATGCTTGGATGCTTTCTTCGCAGTTGCATCGGAGTTCTCTTCTTCGGAGTTGACAGGTTCGGGCGACTTAACGGTGAGGTATGTGTCAAGAAGTTGAGAAGCGGCGATAGCAGCGGCCACGCATACCACAGGAGTTAGGGTCAGCATCAATCGTACCATGACGCCGGCGAAGTAACTTCCAAACAGAGCGTATACGATAATGAAGACATGCTCATCTTCCAATTTCTGGAAGCAGAGGTAGACGCCGGCCGGGAAGAGCCAGATTAGCAGATTGAGATCGAAGAAGAAGGCTGGCCAAGCGGTTGGTTGATGCTCAGATACAGACGCAATGATGGGGATATGAATCTTAGCATAGCCGGTATCCCAAAGAGAATAGAATCGACCGGACCAGGGAGCAATATATCCAAGAGTGGTGAGGCCAACCAAGACGAGTAATGCAAGGCCAAACACGCTGCTGAGACCAATGTATAGGAACGATTGGAACTGGCGGCTTGGGACAGCCGACCGAACATACTCAATGAAGGCTACCAGCTGAAGGAAGCCGAATATACCCAAGGCTGGCATGTGCTCACTAGTACGAACGGGCGAGAAACCGACGAAGGGAATCTGCATGCTAGCTAAGGTGCCGAGGGCATACCAGGTGGTGTAAGAGACATAAAGGCGCATGCTGAATCTTCCCATGCAAATGAGGACGAATGCGTGTAGAGGAACTAGACAAGTAATGAAGGCATATCCACCCCACGAGGCAACCATGTAGCCGTAGAAGAGGGCACAGAGGGCCCCCCATAAGACGGAGCCCAATTTCAATGCCTTGATCCAGAGATAAAAGGTAAACACCAGGAGAAAGATGGCAATGGCCTCATTATCGTAGGAACCAGCCACAGATCTCGATATATAACCTGGGGTAATGCCCATGAAGATTGCGGCGAGGAGACCAGCAGACGGGGAGGTGGTCATCTCATTGGTGAGGAGGTAGGCGGCAAAGGCAGTCAAGCCGGAGAAAGCGGGAGCTAGGAGCACGCAGATGTTTCTGATATCGACGGGAACAGTCAGGGCTCGTAGGATATGGTAGATAACACCGCTTGTAACCATCAGACCGGGATAGAGGGTGCCTCCGGTTACTCGACCGAGGGGATGCCATGTTCGATCGTCGAACCAATCCCAGAAATCGTAGAATCCATGAGCAACAAGATATTTAGTTGCCCTGAAATTGAACCATGGGTCGACTGCACAGTAAAATAAAAATGTCAGCTACTAATCGCAATCCACAAACCACAAACTGCGATCCACAAGTTGGTGTTGGTATTGGTGCTGGTATGATATATATATATAATATTTCAAGACGAAGAGAGATGGGTGGATATATGGATATAGGACTTACACTCGTGGATGATACTCTCGAAACCTATAATTTTTTGTAAAAAAATCCATTAGTAAACGAGCCAGACAAAACTTAAGCAAAAAGTTCAGAATAAGGGTACGAGCATACGGATGACTGAAAAGAGACGACTTGCGACAGCAGCGGCGGCAATGAGGCAGAGAATAATGACCCTCAATAAGGTCTTGGTGCTCTGGTTTTTGCCGACGCTGACGAGCAAGCCAATGGGGGTAGAACTTGCGTCGGTTGCGACGGGCATTGTGAGTATTGCCTCAGGACAATGCAACTAAGTAGTAGACGGTGTCAACATTTGAATTGAAAAATGTGGTGTTGGGATGTTGGTATAGTATAGGTGTAAAGAAAAGAAAAGTAAGACTGGATAAGTTTGGTTGTGCAGGTCGTGATGGCTAAGGTGGTGAGGACAGCTGGAGCTTTCAATCCGCGCGTCGCACCCTGCAGAACGAGCAGAAAGAGCTCCACGATTACAGGGGTGCGTTAGAATTCAATTTAGTGGGGGTACGTACCTAAGTACCGCAGTACGAAGTACAAATACATAATACCTACTGATTTTCGAAGGGCAACTGCTAGACCCTGATCCCGACCCAGTTGCGTCAGGGACGACCACTAGTATTACAAGAAGAACAACTACGTAGGAGTACATAGGACCTAGGTACTTGCTGATGTACGCTGGACACACAACACCGAGGTATTTCAACACATCCATCATGTATAGATCCAATGTAAGATCCATGTGGTAAAATAGTAAAATGTATATACATAGGCAGGCAACCTTCAAGCTGGACTAAATATCCATACTCAGTAGAGACTACTTACCCTAATAGGTACTCGCAGCAAAACGCCTGTGATTATTATGAATAAATATATTGATAGCCGAACACATATTTCTAAGTATGATACAGGTATAAATGGTCCCATGAATTATGACTTTAAATTCTTCACGAATTTACATATATTTTATGAGAAATCTTGGATTTGCATATAAGCTCTTGCTTTGCTCTACATCTCCTGTCACTGTTTGCCAACTTTACCCCTGACTTAGCATACAAAGAGACAATATATCGCAGACAAGCAGAAAAGGGTGGAAGAAAATCACTCAAAAGAAGTCGAACTGAACTGGGCCGCTCAGGTCATCTCATGAATGTCATGCGAGACCCAACCGTCCCAATTGTCTAGGTGAGTTTTATGATAAGTCTTGGTATTGTACACATGTACAGCGTGAAACCCAACGAAATCTATGAGGTGGTTTTTCTGGTCCGCATCGAAATTATACACAGGCCCTGCAAAGCCGTTGCAAGAAGAACGGCCTTAATACGACAGATCGTGCTTCAAACCTAACCCTCTCTCCGTCCACAGACTCTGGTGACCCGTACGTAGTTGATCCAACGTTATTATTACATCCTTAGGGGTTTTGTTTTGCAAGGGCGTTGAAGTAAGCTTCGAGATCGAATTTGGGGTCTGCTGGATCTTGGTCCACTAGTAATAGATCGATTAGCACCCAGCTGCCTTCTATCCTGGGAACTTGAGAATGCTTGAAGATGGGAAACATACATGCGCTTTTCTCGGTTGTTTGGAGAGTTGGGTTCTTGGATTTGGCATATTCGGCCTTGGCTTTCTCTATTAACTGCTGCTTATGCTCATATTCCTTTTGTGCCGCGGTGGCCCTTTGCGCCGCGCTGATTGATCTTTGGTGTGTGAACCCGTAGAAAACACCTAAGGCAAGAGCCGAGTACCGGAGCACCTATTAGAAGAAGAAAAAAAAATCCTATCAGCTATATTCCTGTCGTGCTTGTTGTGCTCGTTATGCTCATCGTGCCGGTGGTAAAGCTCGGGCGTACGGCATGGAAAACATACGTTGACTCCTGAAGTAGTAGTAGACATTGGGCCGGGTTATGGCGCGAACGCTCTTGAGATGGGGCAAGCGATCAATTTGCGATGCACGGTTTGGTGATCGGTTACCAATTGGCCCTATCCTATTCTGAGGGAAGGAAATTGTCGAGGGCTATGGTTCGGAGTTGGGAGGTGGAATAATAGTAAGAGCGTGGTCACGGAAGTATTGGACGGCGTCGGGAAATTTCGCAGACTTATTTTCTTAATTTTTTTTTCTTC